AACACAAGTCTTCCATCTTGGAAACTGCCTAAGGACGCATTTCTCAGAACACCTTAAGTGATGCGACAAGGTATGCTCACACCGCAAAGTTAGTTCACAGACTGAAACAGGATCCAGTCAAGAGGTGGTTCCCTTGGAAGAGACGGGAAGATGTTTCCTCTGGTCATGAGTGTTTAGTATGGAACTCTGCTCTCTCAGCTTCTCTGAGTCCTTTAGTTAGTTATAACAGGAAGTCCTTTGTAATTGACATATCTGCTATCATTTCCATCTGGAATGTCTCCCAAAGGCCCATGTGGTGAAGAGAGTAGAACTATTGGGAGGTGGTGAAACTCTGGGAGGTGGGACCTAGTGGAAGGAAGTTAGGTCACTGGGTGTATCCTTCAAGGGGATGTTGGGACCGTAGCCCCTTCCTCTCTCCCTCTTTGCTTCCTGGCTACCTCTTATTAAGTGAGCAGTCTCCTCCACCATATACTCCCTGATGTGATGAGATTCTGCCTCCCCACAAGCTAGGAGACAATAGGTCCAAGCAACTATGGACTGAAACTTTGGAAACAGTGAACTACAATAAACCTTTGCTCATTATAAACTGTTAAAAAGCCGAACACCACAAGATTTATGCACACATGTGTGTGTGCATGTGCATTTCTGTACATTTTCTGCAAACTCTCACATAACCCCTGAGGGGTGATGAACACGCAGCTGCTTTCTTTATCCACATAATACCAGTGTGGATCCTTCACTACTTCTGTGCTATGTGGCCCTGGGGCCCCGTTAGCTCCAAGGTGGCTAAAGGGACAGGGGCTGGGTGCCTGTGGAGTAGCAAACATGGAGCTCTCCTGAGCAGCAGACCTGGCTCATGCTGGGCCCAGGTGGGCCACACCACACACTGGACTTCTCACCACTCTCCTCTTAGAACATGAGCACAGAGATCATCTACCCGGGACCTACAACTTCAGAAGTCCCCATCTCATGGTCACTGCCCCTCCACGCTCACACAGCCCTCAGCAACAAGGGAACTCTCATGTTGAGAGTCCCACATGCACAACTCCTGCAGGCAGATCCTGGCCATGTCCTACATTTTGGTGGACTTCCCACACCACACATTCATAGCCTCATCATGTGGCCTGCTGGCCAGTTGTGATGCAGTATTCAGACCCACCCTTCTGAGCCCGGTTTAGGATTCTGAGTCAGCCAACCTCAGTGTCACCGACTAGTTCTCCAAATTGTCCCTTCCTCTTCTTACCTTGGGCTATTTACTCACTTCTTCAGTCGCCACCTTATGTTCTCCCCTCCAATACAAGAGAGCACAGTGTAATCGACAGACAGGAGTTATACTTCATGTTAACGAGGCCACTGGAAAAGAGCTCCGCTGTCAAAAATTTGATAATCCAAGTCAGGCGCAGCGGTGCCCTCCTGTAATCCCAGAAGCTGGGGAGGCAGAGGCAGGAGGATCACAAGTTCAAAACTAGCCTCAGCGATTTAGCAAGGCCTGAAGCAACTTAGTAAGATCCTGTCTCAAAATAAAATGTAAAAAGGGCTGGGGATGTGGCTCAGGGGTTAGGCATCCCTGGATTCAATCCCTGACACCCCCCACAAAAAAATTGATAATCCAGTTTGGGAAAAGGTGACAGAGATCTGCCTGAAAGTCTTTATGATTCCTATATACACTATGGATCTTTTTTCCAAAAGTTTTTAGGTGTAATTGTTTTAATATGTTGATATCATGAAAGATTTATACAATGAAAACTACAGAACCCTAAAGAGAAAAATAGAGAAGATCTTAGAAGATGGAAAAATATACCCTGTTCATGGATAGGCAGAACTAACATCATCAAAATGGCGATATTACCAAAAGTTCTCTATAGGTTTAATGCAATGCCAATCAAAATCCCAACGGCATTTCTTGTAGAAATAGAGAAAGCAATCATGAAATTCATATGGAAAAATAAAAGACCCAGAATAGCAAAAACAATGCTAAGCAGGAAGTGTGAATCAGGCGGTATAGCGATACCAGATTTCAAACTATATTACAGAGCAATAGTAACAAAAACAGCATGGTACTGGTACCAAAACAGGCGGGTGGACCAATGGTACAGAATAGAGGACACAGAGACTAATCCACAAAGTTACAACTATCTTATATTTGATAAAGGGGCTAAAAGCATGCAATGTAGGAAGGATAGCATCTTCAACAAATGGTGCTGGGAAAACTGGAAATCCATATGCAACAAAATGAAACTGAATCCCTTTCTCTCGCCATGCACAAAAGTTAACTCAAAATGGATCAAGGAGCTTGATATCAAATCAGAGACTCTGCGCCTGATAGAAGAAAAAGTTGGCTCCGATCTACATATTGTGGGGTCGGGCTCCAAATTCCTTAACAGGACACCCATAGCACAAGAGTTAATAACAAGAATCAACAAATGGGACTTACTTAAACTAAAAGTTTTTTCTCAGCAAGAGAAACAATAAGAGAGGTAAATAGGGAGCCTACATCATGGGAACAAATTTTTATTCCTCATACCTCAGATAGAGCCCTAATATCCAGAGTATACAAAGAACTCAAAAAATTAAGCAATAAGAAAACAAATAACCCAATCAACAAATGGGCCAAGGACCTGAACAGACACTTCTCAGAGGAGGACATATAATCAATCAACAAGTACATGAAAAAATGCTCACCATCTCTAGCAGTCAGAGAAATGCAAATCAAAACCACCCTAAGATACCATCTCACTCCAGTAAGATTGGCAGCCATTATGAAGTCAAACAACAACAAGTGCTGGCGAGGATGTGGGGAAAAGGGTACTCTTGTACATTGCTGGTGGGACTGCAAATTGGTGCAGCCAATCTGGAAAGTAGTATGGAGATTCCTGGGAAAGCTGGGAATGGAACCACCATTTGACCCAGCTATTGCCCTTCGCGGACTATTCCCTGAAGACCTTAAAAGAGCGTACTACAGGGATACTGCCACATCGATGTTCATAGCAGCACAATTCACAATAGCAAGACTGTGGAACCAACCTAGATGCCCTTCAATAGACGAATGGATAAAAAAAATGTGGCATTTATACACAATGGAGTATTACACAGCACTAAAAAATGACAAAATCATGGAATTTGCAGGGAAATGGATGGCACTAGAGCAGATTATGCTAAGTGAAGCTAGCCATTACCTAAAAAACAACTGCCAAATGTCTTCTTTGATATAATGAGAGCAACTAAGAACAGAGCAGGGAGGAAGAGCAGGAGGAAAAGATTAACATTAAACAGAGACATGAGGTGGGAGGGAAAGGGAGAGAAAAGGGAAATTGCATGGAAATGGAAGGAGACCCTCATTGTTACACAAAATTACATATAAGAGTTTATGAGGGGAATGGGAAAAAAAAAAAACAAGGAGAGAAATGAATTACAGTAGATGGGGTAGAGAGAGAAGATGGGATGGGAGGGGAGGGGGGATAATAGAGGATAGGAAAGGCAGCAGAATACAACAGTCACTAATATGGCATTATGTAAAAATGTGGATGTGTAACCGATGTGATTCTGCAATCTGTATTTGGGGTAAAAATGGGAGCTCATAACCCACTTGAATCTAATGTATGAAATATGATATGTCAAGAGCTTTGTAATGTTTTGAACAACCAATAAAAAAGAAAAAACGAAAAAAAAAAAAAAAGAACTGGGTTCTGAATGCTTTGTACCAGGAAAGAACTTTCTATATACTTTATACTGAAAGGCTGGCCTCTTCTACAACATCTGCCTGCTGAACCCCCAAACTTCACCTGAGTTTTAATGCCCTCAGAATTCGCTCTCCATCTCTGGGTACCTCCTTTAGTCCAGGTGTATTTGGCATTGTAATAATTCCTTTTGTTGAAATGTCACCCCACATAGTCTAGGAAGGGCACACATTTGGCCAGCACAAGCAAAGTAGTGTCCTGTGATGCCCAGGAACATATGATAGGTGCCCCAGGCACTGGGCAGAGATACCACCTTCCTGAGTCACTGAAAGTTAAGCAATGCACAAGAGTACAACACTGGTGCTATTGCCAACACTGGCTTTTAAATACTGAACATCTGGATACAACTAATTTGAACCAAAAAAAAAAAAAAAGAAAAGAAAAGAAGAAATAATGTCCTTCCCCAAAACAGGACTGATTCTCAGTCAGTGGCTGAGAAAGATGAAAGACCAGAATGACAGAAGGAGCCCTGAGTCGTCTTCTTTGAAATCCACCCCTACTTGCTTCTTTCAGTCACCCCAGCAGGCAGCTGTCCTTTCATTCCTTTCCTGCTTCACGGGTTACTTGTGACCCACATTATAATGTTCCATGGATGAACAGAGAGCAATGTAGGTGAGGCAGACCTACAACAATTGACATTACAATGATACAGCCATGAACACCTATATAACAAGAAAACAGAAATAAACTCCAAAAGTCTGTCACTCGCAGGGCCACACAACAGGAGGACAACTGTTTGTGACCATTGCTTGGCATTCCCCACACTCAGGAAGGGAGAGAAGACAGAAACACACACACACATACACACACACACACACACACATACAAACATCAGGCAAGGAGGCACACAGTAACCACCATTACCTAATTTCACCAAACCTGATCCTCATGAACACCGAGCACAGTGGTGCATGCCTGTAATCCCAGCCACTCAGGAGTCTGAGGCAGGGGGATCATGAGTTCAGGCCCAGCCTCAGACACTTAGCGAGGTGCTAAGCAACTCAGGAGACCCTGTTTCTAAATAAAATACAAAATAAAAGGACTGGGGATGTGGCTCCGTAGTTAAGCACAGCTGGGTTCAATCCCTGATACTGGGGAGTCGGGGGGACTGCATCACACACAAGGCACAGCTTCTGGGTTTCTGGAAATATGGGGAGATTTTCATCTTCTGAGCAGACAGCAAAGTTTTTCTGAGCTAACTGTAGGAAGGCTGTCTTCTCTGCGCCTCCCTCTCAGCCATACACGGGAGCTAACAGCACGCACCTTCTCCATCTGCACTCAGGTTCTCGTAGGAGTCCCAGCGGATCAATGGGTCTGCCGTGTTGTAGTCCACAATCACTCCGTGGTCATTGTGCAGATGCTCACAGCCTGTAGGGGCACAGCAGGACGTTAGTCCCAACAAAGCCCAGTACTTCTGTCATTCACCTGACCCTGAGGGATGAGGGTAGCTGAGCTGCCGGATTTGAGCATGAAAGTGAAGCTCTGTGTTCACAGTCCCTCTCCAATCATGCATGGCACTAATCAGAGATGCAGGCACAATTGTTAACAAACTGAACAACAGCTAAAATCTCTCAGTGGAAAGGCAAGGTGAACATCGGTCATTCGTGTACTGTGCCAGACTCTGGTCTCTGAGCACCACTTTGCAACAAGAAGCCCTTGGTGGAGACACAGGGGTGCCTTTGGGTGGCATTCAGTCTCAGAAAGGATGACTTTGAGGCTCTTGGCTCGTAAGTCCATATTCCTGTCTTTAGTCATTCTAAGAATGCCAAGAGGAATTTTAACACACAAGCCTTGCATTTAATAATTCCTGTCTAAATCTGTGACAGTGAGCCTAGAAAAAGGTGACTGTTTTCCAAGTTGTTAAAAGGGAATTAAAACTTTCATGCAAGTGGAATTTTCAATTATCATCTTGATGATAGAAGGTTTGCTTTTAAAAAATGTTTTTACGAAATAGGAGAAATTGTTTTGCACTTAGATATTTGCCGTCTACCGTACTTAAAATTCTCTTCTAAAATATTCATTGTTTGTTGAAGACAAAAGTAAATATTTAGCATAATTTCCCAGGAAATGGAGGGTGGATCCTCAGGAACACCAGTGAGCACTAGAGAGTTCCTGCCCTCCTTGGTGAAGTAGTTTTGGGCAAGTCATGTCACTTCTGGCTCTTACTGACCGAAGTAGGCTTAAGCTCTCTGAACTGCCTCCTCCCCACTGTCCAGTATCCTACTTTTTAAAGTTTAATTACAAACGTTTCCAAGTACTCCTGCTGCCCAAGCATCTTGCCCGGCTACCCACCTTGGATCTTCTCAGGTGTGGCCGAGAAGACTAACTCAATCTTCCCATAGTCTGGAAAACGGTCATCTGAAAAAACACATTTGGAGCTGATGAGCTACAAAAGCAGAGGATGGTTTTCTTCTTGTATTCCAATCAGAGCTGCAATGGAAACACCTCACGGTACACAGCATCCCAATTTCCCTGAACTCTTTTCTACCACAGATCAGTAACAATTAAATTTCGCCAGCACGCTGAATTTGGGGAGAGGGTTAGGAGGATGCATGCCCACATGAGCAGGGCAAGCTGCTCCATTCCCTGTGACCTCCATATGCTCTGAGGCCACCAGCTCCATCTCACCTTTGCAGGCACTGTCCAGATCCTCCTTTCCAAACACCAGTCCGTAGCCCTGCACAGCCCCAGTGTGAAACTGCAGGCGGAAAATGACATCACGGGTGGCCGAACGATACTTCTTGTGGTAGCATTTCACCTGGTTACAGAGGGGAAGAAAAAACAAGTGACTACTGAGCATAAGAGCATGAAACTAGCAAGGATGATGCTCCACCTGCATTGGTGTGCATGGCATGGGCCCCTCTGAACTGTTGTGGCAAAGAGTTCACATCCACGTGGGCTGGAACTCTGACCCTGGACAAGGGTGTTGGAAGATGCCATGGTGGCATGTCTCATTGCGGCTGCTGCAGTGATGAATCCTTAGGACACCTCCCAAGATCCTTGTGCTGTTTCAAAGGAATCAAAGTCCTGAAACACCAGGGTCTTCAGTCCTCAGGTAGGCCACGCCCAAATAATTGCAGGGCACAAGAATGTGTCATCTGAAGAATAAAATTTGGTGGCCTCTTTATCCTCAATTTTAACAACTGATTGTGATAAAGTTTTTCTTTCATCTAAACTCTATGTTTTGAATTAAGGCCTTTCTGTTTTCACCAAGAGGCAGCAGCTGGGCATTACAGAGCAGGGAGGAGCTATAGGGAGAGAGGAAGAGAAATCAAGAGAAAGAGGAGAGATGGCGGAGATGGACAGAGAAACAGATATTTACAGAAAACGATAGAGAGACAGAGACAAAGAGAAAACATGTGGCATTTAGTTTCCTGTGCCTGAATGTCTGGATGGCCTATAAGTGATCATTTTAGGAGAAACCTTCACAATTACCCTGTTATGATCCGAACTCAGGATGCAATGCCCAGCCATAGATTTTGTGATTTACTAGGTCCCTTGGGTGCTAATTAAGCCCCCCTGGGTGGCATGCCAATAAACAGAGTGGAGGGATTATTGGGAGATGGTGAAGACAGCCCACAGCATCATAAACCATCTTTACACCAGGGGCCTCGCCACATTAGGCCACATGCTGTGGGGAGATGGCAGAGATGCTTCACTCAAATGACAGGGGCAAGACTACCTTGCCAAGGTCCAGAGCATTCAGGGTAAACTAGGCTCTCAAATCACAGAGTGTTCAGGGAAGGCACATCATCCCATGGGAAACTGAGAGTGGGAGAGGGTTGGCTACCAGGGCAGCCACTTTTCCTAAAAGAGACTTTTTTGGGGGGAAACAATGGCTTTAAAATAGGACATGCTTCACAAACACAAATGACAAGTAATACAGAAATGTGATTATGAACAGTGACACAGAAGAATGTGCAGGTAACATTCCATCATCCTGTCACCAGGGAAACCATCCCACAGAAGCTAAAGGAAAGGAAGCCCAAGGAGTTTTAGCCCAGGGTGCTGGGAACCGTGACCCCTTGGACAGACCCAGAAGTTGTTTACCGTTCTACTATCTACAAGGAAACAGTACTATAAATAAATGAAAAAAAAAATGTAAATAAGACCTTGGGGGATGTTCCCTGTTGACAAATACAAGCTGAGCATATTTTGCATGATGAGGTGCCGCCAGGGATGTTGTAAATCTGGGTGATGCAGACAGAGACCTGGCTGGAGGAGTTTGCAGCGAGCATATAAGAATTGGGAAGGAATGTGAAGACTTTAACTGGCTTTTCAGCCAAGGCATACTGGCCTCGAATCTTCCTCCTGGTCTGAGAATCTCTGACTCCTTAACAAGGCTCAGTCAAAGACCATTCTTGTAGTAATCCTTCCAGAATATTCTGGGAGCATCTTCACCCTTCCTCTGAGCACTCACACCCCACACTCACCACAATGATTGCCCATCAAATGATTTAGGCCTGGATTAAGAGAGAGCTTCTCCCAGCCAGACCGGGTCCTATCCACAACCAACTGGTCTCTAAGGATGACAGCTTCTCTCTCTCTTTATGTCCATTTATTGCCTTGGAAGTAGGGAGTGATCAGGGGATACCAGGGCAGAAAAAGGAAAAAGAGCCCCAATTCAAGCCAGCCTTGCTCTCAAATTTTATAAATAATTAGGAGAAGAAAGATTTGAGAAACAACAAGATCCCAGGAAGCAAACAGTTAGTAAGGGGAGGACACCCAGCCCATTCAGGCATGGAGTCACCTAGAATAGGTGGCCTGTGGGTGAAGCCAGGTGAATATAGGCCCAGGGTGGTCTCCAGGCACAGCTGTGTATGGGGACTATCCATGTGGCCCAGCTTGTTTCTCAGGAGGTATTGTCTACTCTTCCACCTGCTCGGAATTACAGGCAAACTCATTCTATAGCCACCACCTGAGTCTGCATAACCGGTCCCAACCCTGAGCCTCCTGGGAGCCCACCTCTTGGTCCTGCTCACCCTCTCCAGAGCCTAGGATGCCTGCAGTTCCCACTCCTGCTCATCATAGGCAGCTACACACAAACACTGTGACTCATCAAACAGGAATCCCAGATCCCTCCACATGCCAGGAAGGGAGGAAATGCCAGGCACAGGTTTCACCCCAGCAGTTCTGAGTCTCCTGTTTGAAGATTCTAAATTACCACAATACACTGTCTCAAATACTCGTGGGCAAAACAAGGGGAACGTGATCTATCCCTAGACCCAAATGCTGCCCAGGACTCCCGGGAGTACCACATAAAGGGTTCTATAGGTATTTGGGGCAATGCCCCCCATCTTACATAATCCCTGCTTCACACTGAACTTCTCATCCATCAGGGGAGGCAACAGCACCCCCTCCTGTCCTCCTGACCAACTCAGGAACTTGGGAAAGGCAGAAACTGCATTATTTTCCCTATCCAGGGAAGAATTTCCCAAATACTGGTTCCTAGTGGCCATCACCAGCAAAACAGGTCAGACCTGGGAATGAAACATGCCAAAAGCTAAGACACCACCTCAATGGTCTCTCTAAGATTACCTCCAGAGGGACCAGTACTTATGCATTACTAATGTCAATAAATAATTGTAGCATCCGTGCCCAGAGATCAGAACTGTATTCATAACACTTAACAGAAAGAACAACACTGCGTTTGACATAGGTCCCAAAGGCCTCCCTTTAAGATATAAGGTAGTGCAAGCACTTTATAAAAGACTGGAGTGAGGGGCTGAAGTCTGAAATTTCCCCCTTCAGCCCTCTGGCTTTAGTAGTTTTATCAACCTGGATCTCTCTAGAATGTTTCTAGAATATGTTCATACTCTGCCTTTGTATTTTAAAATATCTAATTTAGAACAACAATTGCAATCATGATTTCATGGTACGGGAAATAAAATAAGAAACGGCCAACACTGTATCAAGTGACATGAAGCATCTGTCAACATGCTGTCACAGACAGACCCACATGAGTAGCATGTGGGTGCTAATACTGACAGGACAACTTGCTGGGGAGCCCTTCAGAACTTGGGCATGTTGTAGGCTTTGTGGACTTTATATTCTCTGGCTTTCAAATGGATATTGTAACATGGGCTTATTTTGTTATACAGATTAAATGGGCACTACACAAATACAATCTGTAATTCCAAGTATCTGTGACATCAATTACATTTATATGTACAGTCAGTCAGGTCTGTGAGTTCTGTGAGTTCCACACCCGCAGATTCAACCAACCACAGACAGAAAATATTTGAGGAAAAAATATACATCTGTACTGAAAATATTCAGACATTTTTCCCTTGTCATTAATCCCTAAATGACACAGTAGAACAACTATTTACATACAATTTACCTTGTATTGGGTATTATAAGTAATCTAGAGATGCTTTAAAGTATACTCAAGTACTGCATCATTTTGTATGGGACTTGAGCATCCTCAGAGTTTGGTAACCACATGAGTCCTGGAACCAGTCCTCTGTAGATACAAAAGTGGTGCTGTATGTATGACTTAAAGGGAATAAGTTTCTGGAAAGAGGTTCTTGGTACTCAAAAATGCCATATGAGTAATTATCTACAAGAGAATTTCTCCATGCAAATTACCCTCCTATTGCCTGACAATGCAATTTGGAAATCTTAGCCTAATCTTAACAGATAAAAGATATGTCTGTGCCCAGCCAGGTGCAATGGTGCACACCTGTAATCCTAGTAGCTCAGGAGGCTGAGGCAGGAGGATCACAAGTTCAAAGCCAGGCTCAGCAACTTAGTGAGGCCCTAAGCAACTCAGTAAGACCCTGTCTTAAAATTTAAAAAAAAAAATAGGGCTGGGGATGTGACTCAGTGGTTAAATGTCCCTGGATTCAATCCCTGGCACAGCATGCACACACACACATAAAAAGCCTATCCTCTAACTGAAGGTTACCACAATGATAATTAGGCACCAAGCCCTGCTTTGACCTGTCTGCCCTGAGAGTATAGCAAATCTAAAGGCAGCATGTGGAATTCTCATGCAGGGAAGGAATCAATCAGTCACGTGTTCACAGACAGCCAATAGGTTTGCTTCCTCTTAAGCTTCTACCCCGCCCCCGCCCCTAGCCACTGTGGAGGGGCAGTGCCTATTCAGATCCAACTTCCCTTATATCTTCTAAGTAAAAAAAGCAGGACCCTGAAAGCATTCCCACCAGAAATGAAAGTCACACTCTTGTCCAACTCTGCTGGTGCAACTGCCTTAGGGAGATTTGAGGAGTCTGTATCCTCAGGGAATAAGCTATAACTACAGATTTGAATGTCAAAGATAGATAAACCATCAATCAATCACCTACACCAGGAAGGCCAACAGGAACTGTGGTCTCCCTTGGAGCTGAAAATGCTTTTAAATGGCTACAATATTATAATTCTTGACCTCCACACAATGAAAGGTGAGTGGATACTGGCTGTGAATGAAAACCCAGCTGAGTCATGGTGTTGAACTGACAGAATAGATAAAGAACTGGCCCAGGGCTAGAAGAGTGCTGGTGTAATGAGGGAGAAAGAGTATCACAAAATACAACAGCTATGAACACAACAACCGAGCTCTCCCCTGGGTAAGTCTCAGAGGGATGCTTCCAACTTCCCTGCTATAAGAAACACAAACAGAGGTGCTATGTGTTTCTGCAGCCTCTTGAGGAGGCCTCACCTGTGTTTACAAGCCTGGTCACTGGAGCAAGGTCATGAGGTCAGCAACCATGACGACAAAATACAAGTGGCCTTCGGTTTGCCCAGTCAGGGGCA